TCGAAATATGAGGAGAGTTTGTCATTTACCGGCTGCAAAGGCCTTATATATGATATTAGGGTGTCATTTTGAATTGAAAATATATTATTTAAATATTAGAAATGTTGTTTAACTATTTGTTTTTTTGGATAAAAACTTGATACCTGGTGCAATTAGACAAATGGAGTTTCATAAAACTAGTGAATTATTTGATTTTAATAGATGCTATATATGGTCCTGGGACAAAACAGTCCATTTCCAAGTTTCTCACTTTCGATCTTTTTCTCAATACACTGTTGAATAATACACACAAACACATATATAGGTATATTTCTATACATAGCCTATATATGATATTATATTTCTATATAGATATATTTCTATACATAGCCTATATATGATATTATATTTCTATACATAGCCTATATCTGATATTAGAGCATTTCCAACTATTATTGCTATAATTCTATTACTATTGGTATAATTTGGTAATGAATAGTGCTATTTTTCCAAATTATAACAATGGTGCTCCAATGGTCATTTGTTATTTTGACACAAATCTCAACCAACTTTTCTTGCAAGTTTGTAGGTGTTGTTTGGATATAGTTTTTTTTTTGTGATTTTATTTTTGTTTATTTTTTGTCTTTTGTGACATTTTTTTACCTGTTTGTAAAAAAATTATATATTTTTATTATTCCCAACTAGATAAATATAAAAAATAAAAAAAATGAAAAATTGGAAAAAAAAAATATAATTCACCTCACCAAAAAACATATCACTACATATTTAATAATTTTTTTTAACTACACATAAAAAATAAACAATCACCAATTACCCACTAACAATTATCCATCATTCACCCATCATTCATTCACCAACAACCAACCACCAACAACCATCCATTATCAACCCAACATTCATTCACTGACAACTATCCACCCAATAACCATCCATTATTCATCCACTCACCCAATAACTACCCATTATTTATCCACCCACCCAACACTCACCTATTATTCATCCACCTACCCAACAACCATCTATCATTCACCCATCCACAATTTTTTCTATAAATATAACACAAGGTTTTCTACAATTTTCAAATTCACCTACTCACCATTTTCATATCTTTTAAACTCTCTGTACCCACCTAGAAGATTTTCTACAATTTTTATATTCACCCAATCACCCATCTATCTACAATGAACAATTTGACTAAAGCCATACTGAATGGAGATTTTGATGAATCTTCATCATTGGATGATGATATTATCATGATGCAACTGTTCACAGCGCAACAACAAATAATACAGACGTTAAGCCTAAACCAACAAACCAGACGTGTTGGTTCCACAAGTGGTCGTCGACACATTAATCGTGAGAGGGTCAAAGGCGATGAACAAATTTATAGAAATTATTTTGCAGATAATCCTGTCTATCCAGAAGAATACTTCCGAAGACGTTTTTGAATGAGGCGGTCATTGTTTGTTAGTATCTTACATGATATTCAACAAGTGAATGAGTACTTTATCCAAACCCGTGATGCCACTGGTGCTCTTGGATTATCCGGTGTATATAAGATGACTGCAACACTTCAGATTCTGCAGTACGGCATGCCTGCTAATGTTGTAGACGAGTACATTAGAATCGACGAAAGTATTGCAATTGCCGCCTTGAATTTTTTTACCAGATCAATTGTTGCTACCTATGAAGCTGTTTACTTGAGATTCCCAAATGAAGCAAATATTGCCAGATTATTGCGAGAGGGAGAGCAACACAGATTTCTTGGAATGTTAGGGAGTTTGAATTGTATGCACTAATGTTGGGATAAATGTCCAACTGCCCAAGTCGGTGCTTACACCGGACACTACCACAAACCAACAGTTGTACTCGAGACAGTTGTCTCCTATGACTTGTGGATTTGGCATGCTTTCTTTGGCATGCCTGGCTCTCTAAATGATATTACTATTCTTGACAAGTTGCATTTATTTGTTGAATTAACTATAGGACGTGCCCCTGCTGCTAACTACACCATCAATAATCACGCGTACACCATGGGGTATTTTGTTGCTGATTGTATCTATCCCCGTTGGGCAACGATTGTGAAAACAATATCTCAACCTCAAGGCGCAAATAGACAACTATTTGCGAGGATGCAGGAGGCATGTCAGAAGGATGTCGAAAGGGCATTTGGAGTGTCTAGTGTACAACTGTTGGTTTATGGTAGTGTCTAGTGTAAGCACCGACTTGGGCAGTTGGGCATTTATCCCAATGTTAGTGCATACAATCTAAACTCCCTAACATTCAAAGAAACCCGCGTTGCTCTCCCTCTTGCAATAATTTGGCAACATTTGCTTCATTTGAGGATCTTAAGTAAATGGCTTCATAGGTAGCAACAATTGATCTGGTAAAAAAATTCAAGGTGACAATTGTAATACTTTTCGCCGATTCTAATGTACTCGTCTACAGCATCAGCAGGCACGCCGTACTACAAGATTCGAAGTGCTGCAGTCATCTTCTATACACTGGACAATTCAGGAACACCAGTGGCATCACGAGTTTGGATGAAGTACTCATTCACTTGTTGAATATCATGTAAGATACTAACAAACAATGACCGCCTCATTTGAAAACGTCTTCAAAAGTATTCTTCTCGATAGACAGGATTATCTGCAAAATAATCTCTATAAATTTGTTCGTCGCCTTTGACCCTCTCACGATTAATGTATCAATGACCACTTGTGGAACCAACATATCTGGTTTGTTGGTTTATGCTTAACGTCTGTATTCTTTGTTGTTGCGCTGTGAACAGTTGTATCATGATGATATCATTATCAGATGATGAAGATTCATCAAAATTTCCATTCAATATGGCGTTAGTCAAATTGTTCATTGTAGGTGAATGGGTGAGTGTGTGAATATGAAAATTGTAAAAAATCTTCTGGGTGGGTACAGAGAGTTTAGAAGATATGAAAATGATGGGTAGATGAATATGAAAATTGCAGAAAACCTTGTGTTATATTTATAGAGAAAATTGTAGATGGGTGAATGATGGATGGTTGTTGGGTAGGTGGATGAATAATGTGTGGTTCTTGGGTGAGTAGATGAATAATGGATGGTTGTTGGATGGATAGTTGTTAGTGAATGAATGCTGGATTAATAATTGATGGTTGTTGGTGGTTGGTTATTGGTGAATGAATGATGGATGATTGTTGGTGGGTAATTGGTTATTGTTTATTTTTTATGTGTAGTTAAAAAAATTTATTAAATATGTAGTGATATGTTTTTTTGGTGGGGTGAATTATATTTATTTTTTTTTCAATTTTTCATTTTTTTTATTTTTATATTTGTCTAGATGAGAATAGTATGAATATATAATTTTTTTTTACAAATAGGTAAAAAAATGTCACAAAAGACAAAAAATAAACAAAAATAAAATCACAAAAAAACCTATATCTAAACAACACTTACAAATTTGGAGGGAAAGTTGGTTGAGATTTGTGTCAAAATAACAGATGACCATTGGAGCGCTATTGCTATAGTTTGACAAAATAACACTATTCATTGCCAAATTATAGTAATAACAATAGCATTATAGCAACAATAGTTAGAGATGCTCTAAAATAGCAGGCCATTGGAGGCCTCTTTTTGCCATTCCAATCAAATTTTAGCTTTGGCAGGTTGAATAACAGCTCCATTGGAGATGCTCTTAGGGTGTCATTTTGAATTGAAAATATATTATTTAAATAATAGTATTGTTCTTTAACTATTTATTTTTGAGTAATGTTAGAGATCTCAAATAATTTATTAAATTTTTTATCAAATCTCTTACATGAGTGTGGAACCCACACATATTATTTGTGTAGGTCCTATACTCATATGAGAGATTTGATAAAAAAAATTAATAAATTATTTGGGGTCTATAATATTTTTCTTTATTTTTTGATGAAAAATCGATATGTATGGGTGTTTTGGAATGTTCTAAATAAGCGTACTTTTTAATCTTTTATAAACAAATGTGTAGAAAAATAGAGAAGGTTATTAGAAAATAGAGATGGGATGTTGATATATTTTGATTGATGTGATCCAAATAAGTGTATGTTTAGTTTACCCCAAACACTTCGTAAAAAGAGGCAAATGGAGTTTCATAAAACAACAACAATTGTGATAGAGACCCCCACACATACATGACCCTCACAACCGTCACTCTCATCCTAATCACTTATAATATGGGGCCCACATATACATAAATGAACCCCACACACACATCAAGAATCAAGATCAAATTGGAAATCATGAAACTCCAAAAAAGGGATCCCAAACATTTCTCAAACAACAATGATAGAGAGACCTCTTTTTGGAGGACCCTACAATTTCCAAAGTGATCCACACCACTCATAATGTGAGCCCCACATATATATGGGTGGTTGCACGCATTATGAGTGGTATGGATCACTTTGAAGGTTGTGAAGTCTTCCAAAAAAGAATCTCACACATTTTTTTTCATAAAATAAATAATTTATTAATATATGTGTAAGACTTACTCATATATATGGACCACACCATCAATAATTAAAATCAAGTTCTCAAAAAAAAAAAAAAAAAAATAAAAATAAAAGTATCACTTTTAACATCACTCGTTCGATCATATCAACCACTCTTTTAACAAAATTTGTAGAGTAGAGTAGTGTCCATCAGTGATGATATATATGGTCCTCAGACTCCATTTCCAAGGTCCTTTGCCAATACTCATTTGAATAACAAAAATGCTCAAGGTCCTTTGCCAATACTCAATTGAATGATACACAGAGACAGAGTCTGAGGGTTCTTCATATACACCAAGGATCTTCTAGAGTGAAACTTCCCTAAAGTTTTCTAGAGTACTACATTGTGTGGTTGAGATTTACTGGCAAGTCACATCAGAAAAATTGATGTGACTTGCCAGTAAATCTCAACCACACAATGTAGCACTCTAGGAAACTTTAAGAAAAAATCACTCTAGAGGATCCTTGCTCCTTCATATATATATATATACATATATATATTTCTATACATGTTGATTTCTTACCTTTGCAGCTCCATCCCATTCTCGATCAAGTTTGTGCGCTTTGTCTACTGATTCTATATATCTAATCTGTCCCTATCTATAACACGATGGGGTCGTTAAAGCAAGAACATGAATTGGACACGATCGGGGAAGAATCCAAGGAACCAATCTTGTACGTTAATGGTGTTCGTCGAGTCCTACCTGATGGTTTGGCTCACTTGACTCTGCTTGAGTATCTCCGAGGTAAATCTCTCTCTCTCTCTCTCTCTCTCTCTCTAAATTCCAGTCAGTTCTACGTCCTGTTTGGATGCTGAGAAAACCCAAGAGAAAAGAAAAATGTAATTATAATTTGAAGCGGGAACCAAGCCAGACGGTTGACTATGCTTTGTTGTATGTACGCACTTGTATTGTTTCTGATTTTAACTTTTGTTTTCTTTTCCTTTTTTTGGGTTGTTACTGTACTTTGTTAATTTCTAATTGAAGGTTTTTTTTTTTTTGTATTGATGGGAAAAAAAATTAGTGATTGAATTTGATAGAGAAAAAAATTTAGTGTGCAGTATATTTATGATTTGCAAATTTCTCTGAATTAGATTTTGTGTTTTGGAGCAATGATACAGTTGTAGTTTAGTGTGTAACATGTTTATAACTCCCAAATTGACGAAAATTAATCCTAAACTAAAAAAGATGGTTGGAATAATGCTGAGTAGAGTTGGGGTTTGTTGTTTTCTGCAAAGCAAGTGGTGCTTTTGATTCAGTGTTTCTTTGTTTTTGAGATATTCACTTATACATGTCCATGAAATTATGATATGTTTGGTCTTTTAAAAAGTTGGGAAAAGAACTGAATAGAGATTACTGAGCCCATATTCAGGAAGATTGTGGGGATTTTGCGGAATTGAGTGTGTTGTGTGTCTTCTATCCGAGCAAACAGAACAGAGAAGAGTTCCATTCAGTATTCTTTTGTTTTAGAATTCTGTTTTTTTGTTTTTGTTTTTGATGAAGTCATGTGTAGTTCAATGCCAAGGATGGGAAAGAGAAGAAAATAAAGGAAAACTTTGGACCCAAGCTTCAGCTGGTTTGGTTTTTTCTAATCTTAGTGGAGGTTTCTGTCAACTCAACATCCAAATGGAGGAGAATTTTAAATTTAGGCTTCTTTTGCTTTGGTATTATGTTTCTTTGTTTTATGAAGTTACGGTATGTTTGGTTGCTGAAGAAAATGAGGGAAGAAAAATGCAGCCAATATCTTGGTCAGTTTAATGGAGGTCTGGTCTTGTATGCAAAAGTTTTATATTATTTTGTATTCCTTACTTTTATTATACAGCAACTGGGTGATCCTTGGCTGAATATTTTGTTAATGGAATACTTGGATCTTGTTCAGTTTAATGGAGGTCTGGTCTCACATTCAAAAAAATTATCTTATTTTCTATGCCTTACTTTTGTTGATCCAACAATTAGGAGATCCTTGGCTATATATTTTTGTTCATGGGATGCTCCATTTTATACTATTCTTATGTAAGTTTAGGGATTCTTCTGCAATATTTATATTTGTTTGATTCTATTGAAGTGCTTATAACTTTCCATGTGCTGAAATATATAGACAACATGTGACATTATTGGTTTTAGTTGTTTTTGTTTGAGCTTGCTATTTTATGATTGTCCCCCTTTAGAATATATTCTTAAATTTATTTTATCTCCTTGTAACTAAGGATACACAAATGTTAATCCAAATCACATGGGCTAGCTATGGGCTACTAAATTTATGGGCATGAATGGCATCTTTGAGAGATTAAGAACAGAAGGAAAGATTAATCATAGAGGGAGAAAATAATTGCAAAGTGATTGCCATAGAATACCCATCACTTTAGCCAATAATAAAACCCACCGTTGTCGATGTAACCTAATTAAACATTTGAAAGGCCAGGTTCTTCGTGAACCAGGTGCCACTACTGATGCATGCTCACTGCCCACTCGATCTAAACCCAACATCTGCCCAAACTAGATTGATCGTCATCCACCTCGGGGTCCTCCCACCACAAAATGCCATTGGCAGCACCAATCTCTACCACCAATTTGTTATCACCATTTTTATCACAAGTAGCATAATTATAATTCTTAGATCATCACTGCTAGTCCCAAAAGGTTCAGCTGTTAGAAAATGGGCATGACAATGTACATATCAAGCTATTCAATACCCTCTCACATGCAACCATATCTTGCATTTGGAGATGTAAACATCCATACATAGAAAGAAACATAATGCAAATGGGGAACTAATGCAAAGGAAGAGACTTGAATGAATTCAGGACCTCCCCCAACCTGAGTTCTGATATCATGTTAGAAATAGAATGCAAATGGGGAATAAATGCAAATGAAGGGATTGAAACCTAAGACCTCCCCGAACCTGAGCTCTAATATCACCACTAGTCCCAAAAGTTTAAGGGTTCGTTTGGTTTGTATTTCTGAAAAATTTTTGGGAAATTTTCTCTACAAATAAGTTTTTAAAAGTAATCAAACCAAACAAATTTTCCCAAAAAAATTTCTCAAAACTTGTAAACCAAACAAGTTTTTCAAACAAATCTCTCTCTCACACACATCAAATCAATCACTTTTTTCAAAACTCTCTCTCAAAATAATTTTCCAAAACATCTTTTGAAAAAAACCAAACCAAACAACTTTTCGTACTTTTTATTTCTAAAACACATCTCTCAAACACAAACCAAACATACCCTAAGTTGTTGGGAAATAGGCCTAAGAATGTATATCAAGTATCCAACGTTAATCATCACCTTGATCATTGGGCTCTCTTCAGCATCCTCTAATTTTCTAAAAAGAATATCTCATTTCATATTCATCACAACCACCAGCCTCCCTACATTGTCTCTCTTAAGATCTTACTTCCATGCTATGCTATAGGAAAATAAAGATGCAAATAACGGACGTGACTTGTGATTCTTTGTGAATCCTGTAGGTTGGTGCTTATGTTATTAAGATCTAAACTTTAAAGTAACATAAGTGAGAATAGTAACTGAAGGAAATGAAGGATTCTCAAGCCAGAGTGTAAGAACTTGAAATATACTAAACAAAGTTAAATATTGGAATCCTATCCTATTTCGGAAGTGATTGTCAGTTGGCTCATAAGTTGCATGAACAGAAAATCTACTGCTAAAAGTAATTTGTTAACTATTCTGTTTTAATCTTAATCTGCATTTTCCAGTGTAATCAATTCAATGACTGAAATGCTATAAGCGAAAGCCATGTACAACCACTATAACAGTAATCAACAGCTGAAAATTCAATGTCAGATTACATCTAAGCATTAAATGGCTGTCATGTATCTGGTCCTTCTGCAATTTCAAACTTCAGGAAGTCGATGCAGATTGTTCTCTTGCTTTTAAGTGTATAATCTGGGGAATATTTTCCCAAAGAAGCAAGATAAATCTGGAATCTCTAACCAACAAGGGAGCTGAACATTGATATCAGCATTCAAAATGATGGATTTTGAAACGGAAAAACATGAATGTAGTGAGAGTGTGGAGAAGGCTTTGAAGGAAAGAAGGTCGGGAACAAAGGGTTCATAAGGTGATGTCAATCATTTTACCTTGTATTTTGATGAGTCTAGGAATTAGGGATCTCCCTAGTGTTATTTAGCCTAGATTTATTGTTTATTTTCTTGTCTGTTGTGCAATTACGGTATCCTAGATAAACACCAGGCTATTTCAGTTTTGTTGCAACTATGCTCTAAGGTTTGGGCATCTTCCCTTATTCCGTTAAAACGTAAGAAGCATGGACTTGGATACGTGACATGACATGAATTCGACATGGACATGCCGACACGCTAATTTTCAAAAAATGCAGAACATGACATGTAGAGGACACACACGAAATATATAATTTTATATATTTATTATTTGTCGTATATAAGAATATATCATTCTGAGATAATACAAAAATGCAATATAACACTCAGTTTTTAAAATTTACATTGTTTTTGTTTTATTATTGTATCTTAAGTTATTTAGTTCAAATTTATTCATGTGTGTCCAATCGATGGACTCGTGTCCTATCGATGGACATGTGTGTCCTCTAAGTGTCCAGGTTATTTTTTTTTTCTTTCCAAAATTAGGACACGTTTTGACGAGTGTTGGGCATGTGTTGGGAAGTGTCCAACAAGTGTTGGTGTCTGAAACGGACACGACACGGAAACGCCACCTTCTTAGAAGTGTGCGTGCTTCTTAGGTTAGGACTAAGCAAACTTTATTCATTTATTTATTTTTGGTTGTTGTTAGTTTATTTGTGTGGGCTTTGCTAATGCATGCCAGATGACCTTGCTGCTATAGAAGGAATGTTATGGCTTTGGTTCATTAAGCTTGAGGTTCAGAGCTTTGACTAGGTCTAGTTATTGTGGTTACATCTTGGAAGAAATTGAAACAAATGGGGAAGTTAGGACAGTAGTGTCTGCCAAAAGCAGAATAAAAGGTATATTGGGAGGGCGCGGATTATGCATCTAAATTTTTGCTCTATTTGCATGAAGTGGTTTTAGATTCAAACTTGCCTTGGCACTCTTTAACCCAAGCTTTTACAAAGAACCAAGCAACAACTACTCGTCTAGCTCATGAATTTTAATATCTTAGACTATTCTGTGAGTTGTTGTAGTGAGGTTTCCTTCATTATGTTCGGATGTGAGGTTAAATTCAGGCCTCGTTTGGCAAGAGGCTATTTTAGCCAATTAGCCAAAAAGTTACTAAATTAGCCAAAAAGCCAACAACCCATACCAAAAAGTCAAAGATTCTCTTTTCTCTCTACTTTTTGCACATCTTTTCGTAATTAGCCAAAAAGTCATCCCAAACATACAAGTTTTTTTTACCTACCTTTTTAGCCAAATAGCCAAAAAGTTACTAAATTAGCCTGTTCCCAAACAAGGCCTCAGTCTCATTATTTATTTTTGCATATATATTTTTTTTGTTTTCTAATTGCTTTTACTATTGTTAATTTATGTAGTCTCCCGGATCCCACTCTTTTGTGGCATGATATAATTGTATTTTTCTCTTTGTTAATAAAGATGTAGGTCTGACTGGGACGAAGCTAGGTTGTGGTGAAGGTGGTTGTGGGGCTTGTACTGTGATGGTTTCTTATTTTGATGAAAACTCGAAGAAATGTGTGTAAGTCTTTCCTTGCTCTCTCATGGTAGTTGTATGTGTGACCATCTTCTTCCTTGTAGATACTATTGCTTATAATTTGTTCTTGGAGATAGGAAACCTTCAATTTGCTATCTAACGGGACAAATTCCAAACACTCCTTTTCACTAAATTAACTCCTCATAAATAAGTTGCTTATTGAATTTTCCATGTGGATGCTTTGATAGTGCTTTGGCATTGGTCAGCCATGGCTTGAGATCCCTGAGAATATCTTAACTCAAAGCCAAGGACTTTTTGGCTTTCTCATTTTACATATATATTTATATATGTTTGTGTATATATATAGCGAGAGTGAACTTACAGAAAGTGACTGTGGATACTGAGTGTGTGGTGGAAACTAAGTGTCACTGTGTGTTGTGTTCACAATGAGATGTACCTTACACATTGGCTCAAGGTTCCACATGTGTTAGCCTGTTAAGGGACACATGTCTGGACTTTAGATGACATATTTGGAGGACTTGTTCGCATTAATTATGCACCTAAGTCTTGAGTGGAGTAAATCATGCACTCAGGTCCTTAAAGGTTGAGGCCAATGGCTTCACATGGTGTGGTTTTTCTACCGCACTGCTGAAGTTGTATTATGCTAGCCTTTTCTTCTGCTGCATTACTCACTGTGCCAATTCTATGCATACCTATGCCAAGAGGCAGGACTTAGGTGTGCTAAAATCTTCACCAAGGCACTACGGGACGCCAGGACTCTGTTGTCTTGTGGCTTTGTGGCGAGGGATAGAGGTGTCACTTGCTGTGATACCGCACAATTTTAGGTCCTTAGGCTGGCCCTACTGAGAGAGAGACCGTGCCACCAGACTTATGTATGAAATCTCAATGATTGAGGCAAATAGTAACAAAATGATAGGCCCTGACATATGCTAACAAAATTCTGGAATATTTAGCAAGTTTGTTACAGGGACCTTGACCGATGGATGGTGGTGTCCTCCTTACGTCAGAGGATTCTACACAGTACTCTTTGAGAGGTCATTCTTGAGAGCTCTGAATTGGAACTACTTTGGTGCTCTCTCTCTCTCTCTCTCTCTCTCTCTCTGTGCTAGGTTGCTTTGTCTCTCAACTGGACATCCCTTCTCTCCCCAGTGTTTGTGACATATGCTTTCACTCTGCCGTGAACCCTTCACCCCCGGTTAGTACTACCTATGCTGAGTTATGTCTCATTCAACTCAATGAAACCTCAATCCCCTATGAGGATAGTTAAAGAATGCTACTTTATAAAGAGGGGAAGTGGATTAAAGTACTCATATGGTTATATATATAGATAGGTAAGTTAATGTGACTTGAACTTGAGTCTTTTATAGAGGGAATGCAGCCTAAGGCGCTGAGGTATTCTCTGGGGACTTAATAGTACCCATTTATTGATGCTGGACAAATGCACTAGAAGCAGTTCTTACTAGATCAGTAGCTCTTGTTCAAAACTGCTCGACATCTATAGAAAAATTTAAAAATTCTACTAAATGCTAATGATTATGGTGGTGAAGGTTATGGATTAAAGGTAGAAGACAAATTCAAGGCTTTGCAAGTAAATACCAACATGAAACAAACCTATGCAGACATAAATGAAGACTAAAAGTGAGACAGGATTTGGTTCCATAAAATTACGTTCAACTGAATCAAGATATGATTATAAAAGGTGTGTAGCACGTTTTGTTTCAGATTTTGGCCTCTTGTTATAACATTCTGAACATCTTCCCACTTCCAATATGCAGTAAATTTTAAATTTATGTTGAAGGTTCTTAGCATTCTACCCTAGGTAGTTTGTTTCCCATTGTGTCATTTGATTATGTGTATTAATGGCTCGGTGATTTGCATGAATGCTAGGTTTCTGGTGATTTTGTATAGCCGGGTGACGGGGACTGTGTGTCTGGATTTGTTTACTTCCGTAGATTTTATAGTTGCTCTTTGTGTTTAGGTATTGGTTTGGTTGATAGTCTCAAATGTATTTATTAGCATTGGCTTGATGATCTTTCATTAATAAAATTAACGTTATTTATCAAAAAAAAAAAAAAAAATGTTTGGTTTTAAAGATGATAGTTTTTTGGACCCTCTGGATATACTCTGTTCTACATGGTAAGATAAGATCCTTAGTTTCACATCCCTTGTTTCTGTGATGAGGGCCATTATGTCTAGATAGGAGTGAGCATGGACCGGATTGGGGGTAAAATCAGGACCAATCCGTTATTTACGGTTCCTGAAAAATTGGAATCAATCCAATCCGTTTAAATCTTGGAACCAATCTGAACCAATCCATTTTAATACGGATTGGATCAGTTTAGGACCACGGATTCACATAATTAAATAACAAAAAAATATATATATAACACTTTAATTTCAAAACATAAACATAGCGCTATATTAGTTCCACAATAGCAACATGTCTTTCTATAATAGCGATATACTGTTCTAGAATTTAAACAACCATAAGAAAATTGGTTTCACTATAAGTATTTAGACCATTACAAATTAAAACTAAAAACTAACAAACAAAAGTAATAAAAGAAGATATTATGCGGGTTTAGGTTTGAGTTTAGGTTTTATATGGAATAAGAGAAGATACTGTGGGGAAGGATGTATAATAAAAACATAGACTATTTGTATACGGTCCGGATTGGTTCCAATCCGGAACCGTGGGGTTCAATTCAGAACCAACTTCACCCTCATCTTCCTCGTCATCACTCAAAACAATGATAGTTAGGCAAGAGGCCAAAGTAAACTTTTCCTTCCTTCTTTTATCAAAGTATGTCTGCAACTCCACAGATTGAAATTTTGAAGGTAGAAATTCCTCCAATGTGCCTGGGACAAGAGGACCTTGCTCTAACTACTCATCAGGGACTAATTTCTCTCCTTTTTCCTTCTTTGGGTTCTTCTTTCCTTTTCTCTTACTTACTTTGGCTTTTTTCTGTTTTCTAGAAACTTTTGGTTTTTGTTTTTTAGAAACTTTTGGCCCTTGTGTTGTTGAATCAACCACACTTCTAGCTTTCACTGTGGCATTTTGTTTTTTCTTCATGCTTTTTGACTGATAAACAACCCATTCACCTTCATTATCATTGTCGATAGTGATTGGGTTAGCAGATGCTTTCTCTTGAGGAGGGAGCTCGATAATCTTAGAGTCCAAAAGTTCCTGAATTTTATCTTTCAGAACAAAGCATTCTTTTATCGGATGGCTAATCAAACGATGGTAGGGGCAATACTTTGGATCGTTGGTCTTTCCTACCTCATGTGGTTTTTTCTCCTCAGGGAGAGCAATCAACTTTTGCTCCAACAGATCTTCAAATAGGTCTTCGACCAGATCATCCATGAAAGAATATTTCTTCTCCAACCTTTCTTTCATAGTCACATTTTTAAATTCCTTGGGCTTTTTAGCCCCTACTACAACGGGACCCTTCTTTTGGTTTCGATTGTACCTACAGTCGAGGACTCAACCCTTTCAACGTCCCTAGGCCTCCTTCGTTTAGCTAGATGCAGCTCCATATCATGAGCTTTAGTGCATAGATCATTGAATCCTTCAAAAGTTTGAGCCATAAGAGCCGTAGAGAGCTCATGTTGGAAGCTGTTAAGGCACATCCGAATTAACTCTAATTGTGTAAACTTTTGAGGACAAGCAAATGTCAAAGCGCACCATCTTGCAATGAAATCTGTAACAGACTCATTATCATGTTGCTTGATCTCAATTAGTTCTGGTACTCCAACTCGCCTTTGTGTGTTGTAGAACTGTTTAAGGAACTCCTTTATCATTGAATCCCAATTTAGGATTGATCCCTCAGGAAGGTTAGCATACCAAGTAAATGCAGAACTTTCAAGTGATTGAACAAATAGTTGCAGGCACAGGGCCTCATTCTGGGCTATTGGTCCACATCTTGAAAGAAAATGAGCCACATGTTGTCTTGGATCTCCTGTTCCATCAAACATTTTGAAATCTGGTTGGGAAAAACAGAAGGGAATGGAACAGCATCTACCCATGCAGGGTAAGGTTTTGTAATTATTCAAAAGTTCTCATCATCTTTTTCTTTGACTTTCTTTACTTGTCTTCTCATCGTATCATCAATCATGGCCATGAGCATTGGATTCATACCACCACTGGTTAAATCAGAGTAACAAGGACCATTGCCCCCTGGGGCTAGTGTACTTTGTATGCCTACGGATGTCCCCACAACAGGTTGTGTCATTTGCTTGGGTGCACTTCCTGGTCCTTTCATTTGGGCCTGCAACTGTTGCATTTGCTCCAACATAGCAGCCATTTCCCGTTCTCTTCTCTCAAGTTGTTCTTGTAGGGCCACCACTTTTTCCTTGAGACCTCGGTCTTGTTGGACCTGCGAATTTTCACCTTCTTTCTCAACCTCAGTCATCAGAATTGCGACTTTGTTGATATCTTTCAATTCATCGTTTCCAATATTCGTTGAAACAAACGAGATAGAATCATCTTGTTCGTATAAAGGATTATCAACCCCTACAACATTACTCATATTTGAAGCATCTGACTACGATCCTTTGTTTTGAGCCTGACGGGTTATGGACCTTGTTACAGGCCCTTTTCTTATTCCCTCCATAGATAGTTCAACCAAAGTAGAAATATTTCCCAAGGGTTGCTTACCCTCCTCCACCTTGGATTTTCCAACAAGGACAGGACTTTCAATTTGTTTTTGGCGTTCATCTTTCGAGAAAGCCCTTTTAATAGCTCTAATAACATTTGTTGCCACTGTTTTTAGTTCTAGTTTCTTTAAGGCCTTATTTCTTCTTCGCCTTTGTCTTTTTGAAACTGGACCGGATGACATATCAAGTCAAGCCCCTAGGGGCATAGAAGGAACCGTTTGCGTTTTTGCAAATTCCTCATGAATTTTCAAAACAGTCCCTACATTTTTAGAGCGGACCAATTGATGTTGATTCAAATCCCGTTGGGCCAACGGATGTTTCTTATTCTATCGGGCCAACGAGTGTTCCTTATTCGAACCCTGTCAAGC